CTGCGATGGTGTAGCTGAGCTGGGGTTCAGTGGATAGGGAAGCAGCAGCACTATAGGATAAGCACTTTAACTGCGAACCACGGGGTCAGCGCTTTGAGGCCACCACGCGCTCGGTGGGAGAAAGATGAAGCTTTCAGTTCCAGCAAAAATTTACAGCACTTAATGACAACAAATTGTCGCACTGTTAAAATGTAATAATATCCCCCATTTTAAGAAACGATTACTGTTATTCTATGAGGTTTAAATCCTTTGCTTAATCAGACATGAAATGGGAATGGAAACCTCAGGTTGGAGATTTGGGCAGGGGTAAACAAACCCTTGAGATCCAGGGGAAGGGGAGACCCGAATAGAATATCGGATGGGCGGGGTCAAGCTGGAAAGGTGAATGAAGACCGGGCAAGGGGGAGTTCTAAGGTTGGCAAGGGCAAAACAACTGAGCTCGCAGGCGGCGGGGTGGGGTGGGGTGGTGGAGGAGGCCTGGGGAATACAAGGGACGCGAACCAGAACTGGGGCCTCTCCGGGCCAGCCCACAACAGGTCTGTTTAGCTACTCGCTCAGTCCATCCTCGGTCCCATCATTGCCAAAGAGGCCGGAATGCCCACCAAGGGGAGGTCGCAGGATTCCTCCACCTCCAGAGCCCAGGCGGGCTTCTCGCCCTCCCCCAGCCCGGCCCGCGTCTCACCCGCCGCCAGGCGTAGGGCACGGAAGCTCCCCATGGCCTCCTACTTGGCCGACCAGCACGGTGTTTCAGAGAGAAGGTGGCTGCGGTGCGAGTACGCTCAATGTCACCGCAAACCCGGGTGGCTAGAGATTACAGCCGCGTCACAGGGAGGGTGGACTTCTGGGGCTGGCGGGAGGAAACAGCCGGCCGAGGGAAACGTGCGGAGCGTGCGGGCGGGGCTAGTGGGACGTGCGAGACGCGCAGAACGTGTAGGTGGCGGGCTCCTTCGGAATCGGTGTGGCTAGCGTCCTAGACCTAGTAGTTTAGAAAACGTCCTTATGGAGTCTGGGAGTAGCAGACGTTTGCAATATCATTCTGTAATTAAGAAATTTACCAATTTAAAAAAGAACTTTTGTAAACTGTGTTCTTGTTGTTTGGTGTCGTTGAGTGGGTTCTGAACCATAACTACCCTATGCACAATAGAAGAAAACTGCCCGTACGGCGCCATCCTCTGTTAATATTTGAGGAGTTCATTGCTGCTACCACTGTGTCGGTCCATCTTGTTGGGGATCTTCCTCTCTTTCACTTGATCTTTACCAAGCAGGATGTCCTTCACCTGGGACAGGTCCCTCCTGAACTGTTAAGTGCTGTTGAGTCCAAGACACGGCTGGTGGGTTTGAACCACCGATCTTGTGGTTGGTTCGCAGTCCAGTGTTTATCCTACAGTGCCACCGCGCTTCCGTCCTTAAACTGTAAGCTCCAGATACAACCCGTATTTCAGTACTGTTCTTATAGTATTTTCATTGGAAATAGGCCTTTATCAGGAAACATAATTGGGATCATAGTGCCCAGCGGCCCCAATCTCTTATTTTGGAGGATTCTCTAAAGCTAGTGTAAAAACCTAACATGCATTTACCATTTTTTCTATTTACAAACTAAACATTCCTACCAATAACCGCCTTACCTGGACTGACTCTCACTGCCAGGAACGCCCTTCTTGACTTTTCCTAACGATCCTGATAACAAAGTTAAGAAAAACACTTTAACTCCAAATTTCCTCTGCAAACAATCTGGTTGGTGCGACCAGAGGATTATGTTTCTCTTTTTGTAAGAAAACGGGATTGGAGCAAATGGCCCCTTCAAGTGCTGGCATTCATTGGTCCTCGAGCCTAGGCCATTTCCAGGAGAGCTTATTAAAAGGGGTAAAAGTGAAGAGAAAGAATAGTAGAGTTACAGAATTCGAATGAGACTGAGACCACAAAAGACAAGCTTCTACTCTGTTTGCTCAGTTTCCCTAGCTGATTTTCCTTGGGCTTTTTCTTGTCCGGCGGCACTGCGGACACCTTTGCTCCTCGATGATTGGCCCACGGTGGGGACCTCGCGCTTGTCCAATATGGCGGCGCCCAGTGGCGGTGTGAACTGTGAGGAGTTCGCCGAGTTCCAGGTGATAGGGTTTTCCTCATATGATAGGCATGACCCTCCATTTGTCTCCGGACCCTGTCTTTGTCTCTGGTCTGGGAGGGAGCGCGGATCAGTTGTGGAAGAATCGGGCATTCCAAGGCTCCATTGGAGGTCATGGGGGGCGCGGGCTTGGCCTTAGAGAGCGAGGCTGCTCGGTCCGGGGGTCAGGGTTCTACCTGCGGCGCCCAGATTCTGAGTAACTGCATGGAGAATCATCGGGCCGTTCTGCGATGGTGTAGCTGAGCTGGGGTTCAGTGGATAGGGAAACAGAGATTACAAAATCTAGTAACAATCCTCTGAACTCAGTTTCCAGTATCTGCCTTGTAAGCTTTTCAGAATTTTTGTAGAAGCGAAAAATACAGGAGCGGCTTATTTACTTGGTTAAACAACAGCATTTTTTGTTGTATACTTTGTCATTTTGGTGGGCTATAACCGCTTGGAGGTGCGATTAATTCTAGTACCTAATTCTGGTGCTGCTGTCTTCCTAATTTTAGTGAAAATCTTTTTTTTAACACTTGAGAAAAACACCTGAAGTCTAGGACTGATTATTAACCTATGAATTCAAGAACAGGGGTCTGGATTTTGACCAAGTTGTATGAAAGTTATCGGTTCCACTGCAGGCGTAAATGTGCTGGTTATGCTAAAACCATGACCTTAAAAATATGTTGTCCTTTAAACTAAAGACATTGAAAGATCGATTCATGTGTCACAGCCCTGTCTGTAGTAAACTTTGTGCTTTGAACTGTGTCGTAGGTAGTGGCATTATTTAAGACATTCTAAACAGATTGAATTATTTGATAAATTGCATTACCAAAGAAGCTTACTTATGTGGGTTCTCCACCGTTACTGGCACCCTCTTTGTTACTGCAACCGCGCCTCAGTAACCTACAATGAATGTGATCAGAGTGCCGGAGGAGTACTTGTAAACTTTTTTTTTTTTTCAAAGGATAGAGCAAAACTCTTGGATTTAAGGTGAACTGGTCCATTTGTGATCTTAGTATTGCCGCGTTAGTACTGTTATCTAACTTGAGTTAATGAGCTCTGACAATTGAGTACCTTTATGGTCTATTTGAAAAAACCCCGATAGGCAATTAGGGGTTCTAGATTCTAGTACTGCTTTTGCTAAACAGCTTTGTGGCCTAGCTAATCACAACCCCTTTGGGAAACTCCTTTTTTTCTTTTTTAATAGTTTTACAGCTTTATCAAGATAGCATTTTAGTATATTAACAGAGCCGCACACACACCAATCATCAGAACCTAATTTCAGAGCATTTTCATGAGCCCTGAAAGAAACCCCATGCCCATTGGTAGATACTCCCCATTCTTTGCCCCTGCCACAAACACCTACACAGTACTAGTCAACCACTAATCTGTTTTCTGACTCCACAGATTTTATTATAAAATGGAAATAAAATGTATGTATCCTTTTATGACTTACTTCCCTTCATGTTATGCTGGTATACATACATATTCATGATTAATTCTATAGCTTTAGTTAATTTTTAATGTAGCATAATATTCTATAGGAAGTCCTGTGGTGTGGGAATCTCCTTTTGAATCTGTAAAATAGGATTGTGCTGAAACATTTAAAACTGCTTCCATGTCTATAATTATTTGAATTGCTAAAATCAAATTTCAAAGGGTCTCTTAGCTATTAAAAAATCCAGCAGTGCTTAAAGAACCTGTTGCTTTTTCTTTTGAAGATCAGATAAAATCTAGTGAGGTAAAAGCTAACCATTCCACACAAACCCAAATGAAACCCATTGCCATGGAGTTCTAACTCATAGTGACCCTATATTTACAGTTTTCCAAGATGTAAATCTTTACAGGAACCGACAGCCTCATCTTTCTCCTGTAAAGCTGCGAGTGGGTTTAAACCACCAACCCTGCAATTAGCAGTCCAACTACAGTGCTATCAGGCTTCTTTAACGCCATACAAAGATACCATTTGGAAAAAAAAAAAAAAGATCATAAAGTTACTCTTGTTAGTGAAACTTGGGGCAAGTTTTTAGATAGTTTCTCTAGGAGCTTTTCACATGTGTGATTTATAATGGAGACTGTTGTTGCTAATGCCATCGAGTCAGTTCTGACCCATAGTGACCCTGTATAGGGTTTCCAAGGAGCAGCTGCTGAGCTTGAACCACCAACCTTGAGGTTCAAATGACTTCGCAGTCCAGCGCATTAGCCCACAGCACCACACCAGGACTCTCCAGTGCTTATCCTGTAGTGCCACAGAGTGCAAATTGTTTGTACCATCTGGGGACCTTAAAGTACCCTAAATGTAAAAAGCACTGCTTTGTCTACTGTGGAGGAACAGTCGTTTTTATTTTTAAAGATTAGGTGGATTATTTCCAGAATTACATTATGAAAATGCTTAAACATTGCAGGAAAGTTGAAAAGAATTGTACAATGAGCACCTGTACTTAACACCTAGATTTTATAGTTAGCAATTTGCTAAATGAGTATTACATGCCAATCTCTCCAACTCTAAATCCATCTTTTCTTTATGGATGCATTTCAAAGTAAATTGCAAACATCAGTACACTTCACCCCTAATCATATCTGCATGCATATCACTAACTAGAGTTCAATATTTCTGTAGTCTAAAAATAAAATTTGTATATAGTGAAATGTACAAATCCTTGTAGGCTTATGGATATTAGCTCTTTATCACAGATAGCATTGTAATGCAAGACAGATCTTGATATACTGTATTTGATGACTAATGTGACGCCATTCCTCTTCCATGTTTTATTCCTGGAGTAGTAAACCATATGATTGCCTGATTCAAAATGGCTAACCCCAGTCCATTCCAGTTTAGTAATGCCATTTCATTTTTGACAACTTCCAATTCTCCTAGAGTGGTACTTGGTACATTCCATGTTCCAGTTATTAATGGATATCTGCAGCTGTTTCAAAGGAGTCCTGGTGGTACTGTAGGATAAGCAGTAGACTCCTAGTCGCAAGGTTGGCAGTTCAAAACCACAGCTGCTCTGTGGGATATAGATGAGACTTTTTGTTCCTGTAAAGATTTTCAGCCTTGGAAACCCTAGTTACGATCATTATGAGTTAGAATTGACTCAATGGTTTGGGTTTTGTTTTTTGTTTGTTTTGCAGTTGTTTCTTATTTGGAGTTTTGCCCCATCACCATTGGAAGGTACAGAAAGTTTTACTCCATTCACATCATTAAGGTCAACTCTACTTTGAGTAGGCAACTTTTCCCTAGTTGTATTTTGAGTACCTTCCAACAGAGCGATTCATCTTTAGGCAATATACTGCTATTGATGCTGATATTCAGTGTTCTGCTACACCAGTATAATAACTACATATATTATTTTCTAGAATCAGTGAAGACTCCAGCTATTCTCTGTTCTTCTTGTTAAGGTTCCTGGGTGACAGAATTTTGTCAGTGTGCAAGGCTGTTTCTTGCTTTAGAAAAGCACAGTGCAATCATTGCTGTAAAAATGGGGTTTACTGTTCTTGAAATTGATCTAAGAATAAGTATGAGAAGTCTCGAAGCAGATCTCATTCTCCAAAGGAAAGTGGAAAAGGTGATATAAAGGCCTAGTCCAGATTAAGGAGCCAAGCTCGTTCCAATTCACCCCTACCCATTCCACCCTCAAAGGCTCATTCTGTGTCCCTGCCCCTCCAAAAAGCTACATCGAGATCACATTCTAGATCTTGCTCAAAGTTGAGGTTGAGATCGAGTTCCAGAGATTAATCCAGATTAATTCCTCTCTTTGCACAATATTATGAAGCACTTTCCTACTTCTTTGGCTGTTAACTCTTTCACGTTTGTACTTGCCTCTTCTGCGAGAGGAATTACCTGAAAACAGGCACGTGCAAAAATTGGATTTGTGGCCAAATTTGATGAAAAAGATAAGGTTCTAAAGAAATGGTGGAATGAAGTCAACGACCCTCTCCCTTCTTTGTAGAATTAAGATTATTTTGATTTTATAGCTTTTGAGCTAAAGTAACTTTTATAAAGATTAAGCTCCTTCGATTTTTTTTTTTTTTTAGAAAGTATTTCAGCAGGATCTGCTGCAGGGATTTTTGTTTGATATGTTGGCTTAGTTTTAAATTAGTTGGTTCAAACTTTGAATATTAAGGGCTTTAGAAGGAGAATTCAGTTTTCAATTATGTTGGCTTTTTATAAAGCTTGAGTTATGTAAGATTTAAAAGTTTGCTACTAACATGATTGTCTTACTGACTAGGTCAGTATTAAATTTCTTTAATATTAATATCTGCTATTTGTGGAAACAATGTAAAATCTACTAAAGTGTAAAATAGGGCGGGCCTCTAACAAGCAATAAATTATTTCATATGAAGTAACAACAACAAAAATGGGGTGTCATAGACTGGGTTTTCTAGAGAAGCAAAACCAGTGAAACATATGTATATATATAGAGAGAAGTTTTTTTTATCAAGGAAATGACTTTCAGTTGCACAGTCCTTGGTCCCCAGTGGCAGAGCGAGAGGACAAGCCTTCCCTCGTGTCTATTATATTGGAAGCAGGCAATATCCCCAAAGAAACATCCTTTCAACTGATGAGGGGTGGCTATGAATTAGAACTGATTCCAAAATACACCACGAGCACCACCACGTTTCATGTAGCAAATGAGAGGAAGGGTGAAGGGGTTTCAGATCATTCTTGGAGTATACTGTGTTGTACTTTCATTCTCCCATATATCTTAAAAACTGCTCAAAATAATAAAAGAAAGTTACCTTAGAATTGGAGTGTTGATGTTGTGATATAGGATAATCACTGGACTGTTAATCACAATGTAGGCAGCTCAAACCCACTTGCTGTCTCTTGGAAACACTGTAAGAGGGTCATTCTGAGTTGGAACTGACTTGATGGCACACAGAACCACTTTAGGATTAGCCTTGATGTTAGCGACTATGTGCTGCGGAGTCGGTTCCGACTCACAGTGATGCTTCATAGGGTTTCCGAGGCCGTAAATCTTTCCGGGAGCAGAAAGCCTCATGTTTCTCCCATGGACTAGCTGGTAGTTTCAAACTGGTGACCTTGAGGTTAGCTACCCACCTCGTGACCACTAAGCTACCAGAGCTTCTTAGGATTCGCCTTAGCAATAAGATATAGTGAAATTGTAGGGCAGTAGAAAATTTTCTCTACTCCTCCCTACTACTAAGACTTCAAAGAAGATGAGATTTTCTTCCCAGGATTAGATGTAAGACATAAAATGCAATTCTAGAAGATTGAAGTTATGATACATCAGAATCTTTCATTTTGAGGACAATGAAAGGAGAAGCTGGAGTAACACAAAATTTAGAGAGTTACCTTTAGCTTGTTGGTGGTGCTGTTGAATCATTTCTGACTCATGGTGACCTTATTCACAAAAGAACAAAATACTGTCCTGTCCTGTGCCATCCTCACAGTAGTAAATTAGCTTGAGCTGATTGCTGCTGCCACTGTGCCAATCCATCTCCTTGAGGGTCTTCCTCTTTTTCATTGACCCCCTTCAGCTATGCTTTCATATTTAGACACTAATTAAGGTTCCAGGACCTCCATAAAGATGCGCTCTTCAAAGAACACTGAACTGTGTTTATTTCTGTATTTCTCTGTGTACTATCTGTGATGTCTATCCTGGGACATCTTCTATGTATTTTTTTGGCAGACTTATGAGAAAGAACGAGAGTATGCTTTGGGACTAGGAGTCAAGTGAGTAGTAATTCCTTCTGAATGTTACACATGACTTATATACACCTTCATTTATACTGTTTATGAAGGCCACCCAAGCTTTTCTCTAGACCTTCCTGGAGTTGTCTTAAGAACTATGGAAAAAATTTCCACTCTTTGTCGTTCTATTCCTTCTCCCTTTCCAATTTTGAAAGATATCCTACTCTACATCTTATAACTACCCCTGCTCTTTTGCCATATATTTAGGTTTTCTGGATGGCTCACAGTTCTCAGCCATCCCTTATCTAGTCCATTACCAGTTTAGAAATTGTCACATTTTCTAGATTTCCTCACTGTCAATAGAGCATTCTTTGATGGTGGAAATATTACATTTATGCTGCCCAGTATGGTAAACACTAGCCACATGTACTGGTCCACACCAGTACTGTAGGGTAAGCACTGCACTGCTATATGCAAGCATGGTGATTCATACCCACCAACTCTTCCTCAGAAATCCGATACAGGCTAGTATGAGTCGGAACTGACTAGATGGCACTTAAAAGCTACAACAAGCCTTATGTGATTCTTCAGTATTGGAAACACAGCTAGGGTAATTGTGGAACTAAAATTTTAATGTTAATTAAATAATCTCATTTAGCTAGTGTTTACCATATTGAAAGTAAGTTTTAGATCATATACTGATCATTTTTAGCATCAAATTTATACAGTTGATCATCTACATAAGTTTCCATTAGTAATATTTTGAAATTGATCAATTCAATACCTAGTTATTGCAGGTGTGTTCCCACTACTAAACAATATGTCCAAATTGTCTTATTGAAGGGAAACTTGGCTATCATGATTAATGTGTAGCAGCGTTTACTCAAAACTGGTTAAAGTTCAGAGTAAATAAAAATCCTAGAGAACGTCAGCCTTGTAATCTTGGACTGCTACATTAACCTTGTCACTCTTCATCTACTCCTGTTCCTTTCCAACCCATTTTCTGGACTTTAACCTTAGCAATCATTTCAGAATACAATGATCATGTAACCCCACCCTCACTTAAAAGACTTTATTGATTCGCTGTTGCTCTCAGGAAATAGACTAAAATCCTATAACATGACCTGTAATGGAGGCCTCATGCTTTACACCGTGCTTTTCAATCCATTAAACATTCTGTTGAATGATTTATGAAAGTCACCTGTGATTTCCTCCTGCTAAGTCCAAAAGTTAATTTATGCCCACATCATTTTTGACTTAATAACATTCATAACATTTGACCACTCAGTGAAATTTTTCTTCTGATTCTATGACATTAGTCTTCCTTCTCTAGTTTTCGATGCAGAATTGCCTTCTTGTTCATCGACTCCCTTCACTCCCTAGTCTCCCTCAGTGATTTCTTGTAGTCCCATCTTTTTAAATGTGAATTTGTCAATATAATTCCAGTGCCAAATTGGTATGTTAACAATTTATATACACCTTCATTTACCAAACGAAGTGCCAAATTGATATAATAAACTTTCTATTCAACTTTTCCACTCAGATATCTAATAGGAATCTCAAACTTATCATGTCCAAAACACATCTTAAAAATAATAATCATAAAAGTTTATTTAGTATGGAATATTTCAAACTTAGGCAAAAGAATAGATAATAATACCATGCAGTCTCACATACCCATCCCCTAACTGAAACAATCAGTTCTTAGCCACTCTTGTTTCATCTAAATATTCTTAACCACTCATCTGACCACAACCAAATTCCTTTAAAGCCCATCCCAGAGACCATATCTTTTCATCTCTAAATATTTCAGCCTCTCCTTCTGAAAAGAATACAATTTAGACAAAATACCATTGTCACATTCAGTTAACAATATATTCTTAATATGATCAAATATAGTATGAGTTAGGACAGAACTCTTGGTCTTCTCAGGTAGTCCAAATGTTTTCCTCCACCAACCCTTCCCCCCACATCAATGAATGGCACCACAGTCTGTTCAGTTGCTTAGATCTCAAACCCTTTTACTTAACAATAAATCTACAAGGACAAATAAATAGTTTTCTTTTTATGGTCCATGCTCAAGCAAATAAGTTTTCAAATATAGAAATGGTAGAATTCTGATAATAAAATTGCATTCAAGTTAGAATTCTGATAATAAAATTGCATTCAAGTTCTTTGATGCTTCAACTTGGAAAACAGTCAGATAAATTTGCACATTGAAACAAAAATTATTTTAATAGTTAAACAATTTTTTTTTTTTTTTACAGAATCAGTGTAAAAAGGAGCAGATAAAAGAATGAGTTTGATTTTAGAACAGACATTTTTGTTTTAATGCTTTAGAATTATGGACCTAGCTTTCCACAAGCTGTTTTTCTTCTAGAGTAAGGCCTAGAAAAGGACTTTAAATTTGCTAATTAAAGATCATTGGAATGATAGAAACAGATTTAGACTAGATGAACTCAATGGCTATTATAATTGGAAACAATCTAAATGTTCATTAATGCAGAAGTGGTCAAATAAAGTGTAGTACTGCCATGGGATAGAATATGTATACAGCTGTTATAAATGTCTTCAAGGCATTGATTGAGCTGACTTAGATCTGAGATTTAAGTTTGGTCAGTGAAAGAAATACAATGGCATGTTGGAAGAGGCAGGGGATGAAAACAAAGTTGGTTTTAGCATGCTTTAATGTTAACATGTTTCAATGTTAACTTGGACTTCTGGTGTGGCTTGTGGATTAGCACTAGACTGAAACCACAAGGTCAGCAGTTCAAACCCTCCTTGGAAACTCTATACAGGGTTGCTATGACTCGACACTTAACAACAATGTTAACTTGTTGGGTGGCTTCAATGATAAGTATATTCTCAGTATTTGCACTTTAGTTATCTTGATGATTTTTCAGTGTTTATCCTGATGATTTTTCAGTGTTTTTCATCTGGGAGGTAAATTTAAGAAACAATTAAGAAGAGTATAGTACTGGAAATCTTTCCCAGCCATTATGCTAGCTAGTAATAAGTGAAAAATGCTATGATCAAAATGTGGGAGAAGAGATGTGCTGGTAGGTGTACTCACCAGAGTCTCTCAAGGCCTCGTCTCACCTTTGGTATTATTTTCCTTTTGATAGTTTTCTTTTTTTGGAATTGCAGGCTTTTCATGGGGTGTAATCCTTGAGAAATGTAAGGTAGGCTACTAAGAAAAGATACAACTAATTCTACTTGATTTGTAAACAAGAACGTCATGAAGAAATTAGATTTCTTTTCTAAAAGCATGTATTATTTTACTTATAAAAGTAACATACAATTATAGCCAAAACCCCCCACAAAATTGTAATAGCTCAAAAAAGGTATAGATTAATTCCTGCAACTTAACCACTATTAGTAGTTCTGTATATATGGGTGATGCAAAAAGTTAATGCACTTGGCTGTTAGCTAAAAGGTTGGACGTTCCAAGTCCACGCAGAGGCACCTCAGAAGAAAGGCCTGGCATGAAAGCTCGGTGGAGTACAGTTCTACTCTGTCACATCTTGGGTCACCCTGAGTTGGATTCAACTCAATGACAGCTGGTTAGAATGACAGAAATTTTCTTTTTGGTATCAAGTTGTAGTGTGATAGGTCAGGAGGGAATTGTTCAGTGCCGTCAAGTCAGTTCCAACTCACAGCCACCCTGTAATAGGCTTTTTACAAGCTTTTAAAACCTTGTGGGAGCAGAAAATTTCATCTTTCTCCCAAGCAGCGACTTCTGGGTTCGAACTGCTGACCTTGTAGTTCACAGTCCAGTGCTTATCCTATGGAGCCACCATGCTAGTAGAAGGGACTAGAATAAGCAATTATGCTAGCTTGTTTTGAAAGTTTTATGGTAAGTAGATTGCCTGATTGGCTGTATTCCTGAAGATGGGAAGAGCATACACTGTTTGCTAAGGACCATATCAGCAAACAAGATTTAAAAATGAGTAAAACAACCTCTACCCTTAAGACTATCCCAGTTGAGCCAAGGAGCTAAAGCCAGTGCCCACTGTTTATTACTGTGTAACCTGCCTACCATTCTTGTAATGATGAGTTTCCTATGTTTGTCACTGTATTTTGCAGTATTTTCCTACTCCTAACTTAATTTGTTATAAAATACTCCTGACTTGTTTTTTATTAAAATATTCATTAGTTTTTAACCACTTAATTCTCTATTTTGGTTATTTTTCTTTTATTTTGAATGTATATAGGAATTACTCAAGGTGATGAGGACGATTGATGACAGAATAGTTCATGAATTAAACACTACAGTTCCAACAGCTTCCTTTGCAGGGAAAATTGATGCCACCCAAACCTGTAAACAACTTTATGAGTCTGTAAGTGTGTCTCTTTAAGTCGTTCTTTTGTGCTGCTTTTATGCCTTTCTTTGAAGGCAAAATGAGAAACCCTCTGGCATGTAATTCAATTGTGAATGAAAGATTTTCATTTTCCCTTGCTCATGCTTGATTGAGGGCGTACGTAAGTTTCCATCTGATTTCTACGAGCTAAAGGAAATGTGTGATCTTAGGCATGAGTCTGTGAAGAAACAGCTTTAAAGAATAGGAGCAGTCGTTGCCCCCTTCATCTGCAGCCTTGAACGTAAGGAAGAAACATTATGCACAAAGGAATGAGGGGCGAGTGAACAGTGAAACAAGAGCAAGGATTTTGAATGAATCAATTCTGAGAAGTCAGATAAGTAACATACAGAAGAATCAAAAGGTTCCCACCATCTATGCCTTCTTTTTGGCTTCGTCAGGAAGGAGAACAGATGCTTTTCAGTGTTGGAAGAGAAGGAAAGCTCAGATACATTGTCCTTTCCTGAGGCTTTTGGTTTCTCAAGAACATATTTTTTTCATTCTCTTTTAGAGATTCCTTTAATCGCTTTCTAATATCATCAGAATATGTTCTCTTCAGAGAAAGGAAGGAATGATACTAGATGGAACAGGTTGGCACTTAATGTTTTAGCTGGAGGTGAACCACCATTATTTATATACCATCAATTATAATGACAAGTGCATACTATTCTACTATTTTTATTTTGCTTCTCTTTTCAAACTGTTTGGAAATATCATCAAGCTTTGTGATCATGGGACTGTGTTTGCAACGTGATCATCTTGCCTTGTATGTCAAGGCAGCAAACAGGTAAAAGTTGTGCTAGATTTGTTAGAGATTGCTGAAGAGTTGTCGACTGTCCTGCTTTCAGTCAACACACACAATTAAAGGAATAGTAATCTGTGCATCATATATAACTTTTTCTTAGTAATATTTGTGATGGGCAACTAACTACACAAGTATAATAACATAGGTAAATATAACATTTGCATCTTACTTTAGGTAAATATAGCATTCTTTATTTCACTGTAACTAAATACAGGGTCACTATGAGTTGGAACCGACTTCACGGCACACCACCACCACCACCAAGACCTTCGCTATATCACAGAGTTTATCATTTCTTTCACTCGGTAACAACATAAGACTGGGGAAAAAAATATGAAAGAACATAAAAAGAGAGAAAGAAAAATGCTAAGTGTCCCAGAAAGAGTATGACAGTAGTGTAGTGCATAGAAAAATGTGGATGAAATGATGTAAAGAGAAAGGGATGTAGAATAAGTGAGAATGAAATGAAAAGCCAAGCGGGGGAAATGGAGGAAGAATGTAGTGGAAAGCCCTTGGAAGCTTACTGAGGATGAAGACCACCCCTGGCCTCAGACCGTTCACCCTAGACATGCTTGCCTTTTATCTTATTTTCAGTGATTACCTGACTCAGCATAGTCTTCCTTTCCATAGATTCTATTTTTTAAAAGATAATTTTAGAAATTACTAAATGTCTATAGTCTTAAAATAAGTATTTTGAAGTACTGAAATGTGATAAATTGATGTGATTTCCCCCTTCTCATTCCTTTATTCTTTTAGTTGATGGCAGCTCATGCTAGTAGGGACAGAGTCATAAAAAATTGTATAGCCCAGACCTCAACAGTAGTAAGAAACCTCCGAGAAGAGAGAGAAAAGAATTTGGATGATTTAACGTTATTAAAGCAACTTAGAAAAGAACAGACAAAGGTAAGTTGAACAGAATATACATTTCTGAGGCAAAGTTTCACTAAATTTTGCCTTCAGAATAGAGGGAGTTTTTAATTTTAAGACTTAAGAGTGAGATATGATTATTACTTAAAAACAAAACAGATAAAACAACTGCATTTATAGTGGGCTTTATTTTAAGATAGAGGAGCACCATAGATCAACACTGTGTCAGAAATTCTAGGGAAATTGTATCTGTATCTACTTTTGGAGACAACCTTGAAAAGAAACATTTCCTGACAAATTGGAAAATATTTCCCTCTGGTTTCATTTGATAGAAATTGACATGTATTTCAGATCAGTGAACTTCAGGATAGCACCATCTTCAGCCATAAAAAACATAGTACCACTGAAATAAATCTGATTAGATATACTAGATTCTCTTTTTTGTTCGTTTTCCTACTGTATAGATGTTGCTATGGGTCTTTGACTCTTTTTGGACACCCCTTTCTTTCAGTCCTCAACCGTTTGCAGTGTTTTTGGTTTTTAAAAAATAACAAGTGCCATTTTAGGGATGTGTAAAAGAAAGCTTTATTTTCCCAAAATCAGGTGTACTGTAGATACGACAGGGACCTCAGAATACAATTAAATGCAGCAAAACTTGATAGCCTTTATATGTGACTTGTCAAAAAATAGCCTACAGTCATGGCATATTTGTGTGTGATGCATTGCAGCGATTCTTTGCAAGTAATTTTTCTTCTTGATAGACTTTCAAACTTCTAGAAAAGTTGCAAGAACTCTTGTGTGTTTCTTTCTATATTCACCTGCTTTATAATCATTCAGTTTCTCTCTCTTTCCACATATATTTTTTTTCTGAACCATTTTTTTAGAGTGTGTTGGACACATGCATGTGTGCCCCTAAACACTTGGTCATTTCCTAAGAACAGGGACGTTTTCTTAAACAACCACTGTACAATGATCAAAACCATGTCTATAAATACATGGTGGCACAGTCGATGACATACAGATCCTTGCATGTCTGGTGACTGAAAATCCAGTGTGGGGTAGAATCCCCACGTATTTTCAATACCGTGCAGTCGTGAAGTTGTCTTGGGGCAAACGTTGAAAAGCCTAAGTTATGAGGGACCTTGTTGTCTCTCCCACATTTTGGTAGAGAAGAGAAACCCTGTTCCCTGTAGCTGCACACTGGCTGCTGCCCTGTCTCAGTCCTCCCACTGTTTCAGAGTCTCCCAGGGTGCGGGATGCCTCAAACAGTGAACTCATGCTACATACAATGTTCATCTCACTTTAACCTTGATTTTCATGAAGGCTTCTAGATAAGATAATGTATACAAAATTTGTTAGAATCTAGATGATCTTTGTTGTTATTGGTTTTAATCCAAAAACAAATTTTGAGTTTTGCTTTGAACACCTCTTGAAGGTATTGACAAGAAAAACTGCATGGAGAGGGCTATTAAGTCAGAAACGAAAAAATCATTGTTTGCAAATTATGCCACACTGAAGAGAGTGCCAGCCTCCTGTTAGTGTGAGAGCAAAGTTCAAAAATCTGAATGACCTGGATTTTGGGAGTGATTGTGTCACACAGATCGTCAGCCTAGGTTCTGCCTCTGTTTGTTTAGGGCCCAGAGTGAATCAGTCAGCTAGCATAACTACTGCAAGGGGGTGGTTTAGAAACCAGTCAGTAAGTTACTTAGAAAACCCTCTAAACCTTTCAAACCTGATTTTGTATGAGGCTACAAGGGTGGTATTGTAGGGTAAACACTAGACTGCGAATTGCAGGGTCAGTGGTTCAAACCCACCAGTTGCTCCTTGGAAACCCTATGCAGGGGCACTATGAGTTACTACAAGTCTCGAAAGCATTCAAGCCCTGACTTGCAATATTGCAGGACACCATGGGCAAAATATTGAATGATACAGAAAGCATCAGAAGATGGAAGTCACTGTACTAAAAAGAAGTGGTCAGTGTTTAACTATTTCTAGAGGTAGCATATGATCAAGGACTGATGGTACTGAAGAAAGAAGTCCAAGCTTCACTGAAGGTATTGACAAAAAACAGGACTCCAGGAATTGACAGAATACAAATTAAAGTCTCTCAACAAACTGATGCAGCACTGGAGTCATTCATCTGTGCTAAGAAATTTGGAAGACAAGTTACCTGGCCAACTGATTGGAAGAGATCCATATTTGTTCACATTCCAAAGAGAGTTGACCCACCAGAATGAGGAAATTATCAGATAATTGAGATCACATGCAAGTAAAATTTTGTTGATAATTAAAACACAACTGCAACAGTATATTGACAGTGGACTGCCAGAAACTCAACCTGGATTCAGAGGATGTGTAACAAAGTATATCATTACAGACATCATATGGATGTTGGATGAAAACAGAATATCAGGAGGATGTTTACTGCGTTATTGTCTGTGTGAAGGCTTTTGACTGGATCATGAAAAATAATGGATAACATAGCCAAGAATGGGTATTCCAGAACACGTAAATGTGTTCATAGACCAAGAGGTAGTCATTAGAACAGAACAAGAACGTACTGAATAGCTTAAAATCAGGAAAGGTGTGCACCAGGGCTGTAATCTTTTATCATACTTATTCAATCTGTATGCTTAGCAAATAATCCAAGAAGCTGGATTATATGAAGAAGCGGGTAGCATCAGTACTGGAGGAAGACTTGTTAACAACCTGTGACATGCAGATAATACTACCTTGCTAGCTTAAAGCAAAGAGGACTTAAAACACTTACTGATGAAGACCAAAGACCACAGTTTTCAATATGGATTGCATCACAGCATAAAGAAAACAAAAATTCTTACCACTGGAACAATAAACAACACCCATATAAATGGAGAAAAATTTAAAGTTATCAAAGACTTAATTTTGCTTGGCTTCACCCTAAACACTCATGGAAGCAGCAGTTAGGGAATCAAACAATTTATTGGATTAGGCAAATCTGCTCCGCTAAACCTCTTTAAAGTGTTCAAGAACAAAGATTCAGGGCTACGGTGTGCCTCATCTAAGCCTTGGTACTGATACTTCACTCACACTCAGGTATCAGTAGACTGGTGTAGCACTAACCTCAAGGTAAGCAGTTCATACCCACCTTACTGATAATGCATGTGAAAGTTGGGCAATGAATAAGGAATACCGAAGAAGAATTGATGCATTTGAGCTGTGGTGTTGGAGAAGAAGATTGAAAGTACTATGGACTGGCAGAAGGACAAACAAATCTGTGTTGGAAGAAGTATATTCAGAGTGCTCCTTAGAAACTCGGATGAAACTTTGTCTCTCATACTTTGAAATTTTCGGGGGGGGCCGTTCCTTTGGGAGGGCCTTTTTCTTTGTTAAGTTGGGGGAGGCCCCCTCAATGTGATGGATTGGCCAAGTGGCAGCAGCGATGGTCTCACGTGTAGCAACAATTGTGAGGATGGCACAGGACCACGTAGTGTTTTGTTCTGTTGTGCATAGGGTTGCTATGAGTTGGAGCTGACTCAGGGATACCTGAAAACAGCAACATGAGTTGGAACTGATTCCGTGGCACTTAGCAAGAACAACCATGGCTTTGTAATCTTGGAAATTAATTGCCCTGAAGCTTTTAATTTTTCAGTTTCTAAAATGAAATTGATATTCAGTAGCTTCTTAGATTTTTAAAGAACACATTGTTACAGTGTTTGACTTCTAATGTAAAGGTCAATGTTTGAATCCATCACTTGCCCTGCATCCTGCTAGAGAAAAATTTGTTACTTTGCTTCTGTAAAAATTTAGTCTTCGAAACCCTATATGGACAATTCCAATCTTTGCTATCTAAGGGTGCTGTGTTTCAGGATTTTTAGATGGGAATAAATGATACAGTGTATGTAAGAGTTAGTAATTTAGTTGGTACAGAATAGCAGTTTCTTTCTTTTCCTTTTGAGTCTGTTGAATTCCTTATCTGTAGCGTTAATCCTCCTTGCAGTATTCCTTATCTTTATTTCCACCTTTACCATTACTTAAGGGGGCAAGGGACCTCTCTTTTGTGGTAGTACATTCTTGGACAGTTGTAATTTTTCAAAGATTTTCTTACATATTGTAAAAATCTATCTCCTTGTACTATGCATTTAGTATGCATTTGTTGTTCCTTAGTCTTCCTTCTAGAGCTATTTAGGATAATCTAAATCTTTTTATACCTGTTACTTTGTTATGTTAACATGTATGTTTTTATACATGTTATATTGTTATTGCTATAGTGCCATCGAACCAGTTCTAAGGAGAAAAGCCTCATCTTTCTCTAAGGAACAGGTGGTGGGTCCAATCACCAACCTTGTGGTTGGCATTTCAGTGCTTATCCTACAGAATCACCGTGTTTCCTGTGTTTTATACATAACATGTTTATGTGTTATGTGTATATATTTCATACATGTTATTATGTTATATTAACATAACATCTTTTTATACATAATGTTATGTTAACATAATAAAAACATGTATATGATTTAGGTTTATCCTATATAACTCTAGAGAGCCGATAAAAGAGCACTAAATGCTTATTGCTGATATCCGACGGATGTTGGCTGAAAGCAGAGAATACCAGAAAGATGTTTACCTGTGCTTTATGGACTACACAAAGGCTTTCGATTCTGTGTATCATGACAAGCTATGGACAACATTGTGAAGTATGAGTATTCTGAATACTTGATTGTGCTCATGAGGAATCTGTACATGGACCAAGAGGCAGTTGTTTGAACAGAACATGGGAACACCAGATGGTTTAAAATTAAGAAAGGCGTGCGATGGGGTTGTATTCTTTCGCCATACTTATTCAACCTGTATGCTGAGCAAATAATCTGAGAAGCTGGGTTATATGAAGAAAAACATGGCATCAGGATTGGAGGAAGACTCATTAACAACCTGTGATATGCAGATGATACAACCTTGCTTGCTGAAAGTGAAGAGGACTTAAAATACTTACTGATGAAGATCAAAGAGCACAGCCTTTGGTATGGATTGCATCTCCATGTCAAGTAAACAAAAATCCTTACCACTGGACCAATAAACAACATTCTTATCAATGGAGAAAAGATCGAAGTTGTCAAAGACTTCATTCTTCTTGAATCAACTATTAACACTCATGGAAGCAGCAGTCAAGAAATTAAATGACGTATTGCATTAGGCAAATCTGCTGTATAAGACCTTTTTAAAGTGTTGAAGAGTAAAGATGGCAGCTTGAGGACATCCAAGCCATGATATTTTCAATAACCTCATATGCATACAAAAGCTGGACAGTTAATAAGGAAGACCGTAGAAGAATTGATGCCTTTGAGTTACGGTGTTGGAGGATACTATTGAAAGTGCCATGGGCTGCCAAAAGAACCAATAGATCAGTTTTGGAAGAAGTGCAGCCAGAGTGTTCCTTGGCCAAACTTCGTCTCTCATACTTCGGACATTTTGTGAGGAGGGAGCATTCGCTGGAGAAGGATATCATGCTTGGTAAGGTGGAGGGTCAGATAAAAAGAGGAAGACCCCCAGCGAGATGGATTGGCCAAATGGCAGCATCAGTAGGCTCAAGCATGGTAACAATTGTGAGATTGGCCCAGCACCGGGTAGTGTTTCGTTCTGTTATGCATAGGATCGCTATGAGTTGGTACCGACTCAATTGCACCTAACAACAGTAGCAACATGCATACTATGCATAGCACAAGGAGGTAGATTTTTGCAACGTGTAAGAAAATCTTTGAAAAATTACAACTGTTCAAAAATACATTGGCACAAAAGATATCTCCCTGCCTCCATTAAACAAAAAGCAATATGTAGAGCTATGAAGCATAAATGTAAATTTTTTTATGTGTGACAGCCCCTTAAGTATTTGATGGCCGTTATGAAGACTATCTTAGTGGTATATTGTCACCCACTGTTCTGTAACTGAGGTTGTTACTTCATTGACATTCAGTCCAGGCTGTGACAAAGTAGTGAACTTTAATCACTTTTTTACTCTATATGTAAATACCTGATTAACATCCGAAACTGAGGTTATTTTGGTGTAAGCAAGTGTATTACTCCAAGTACTGTACCAAGTGTCAGAAATGCAATTCCCCTCACTTCAGTTACTTTTCAGTTCCAGTCTCTATTCCAACACCAGTTCAGCAAGACTCAGTTCTGAGTCTAGGAAGAGGGTTTCCAAGGATCTACTGGATCAGTACGAAGTCTCATTCTCTTTTCCGTATTTTATACAAATTTCTCAGCCCTCTGGCTTGAGCTGTGTACTCCTAATTGGACAGGCTCTTTGGCCTGCGTCTGTGTCCCAAATTCATGTCTGGCAGTTGGCTCCCAGTTTCCTGTCTCTTGACTTTGACCTGTGGAAATTGTGCTAGTTTTAACCTCTTCCTGCATCAACCTATAGTTTGTGCTTTCCCGCTAAGTTTCCTGAATATTTTCAATGTGTTCCTGGAACTAGCTAGCCTCTTTCCTTTCAAGTCCTTTGTGACTAGAAGTATGAGGGGGTTTCAAATGAAAATTTTCCAGGAACTTTTTGAAAACCCTTCATATTAATGGGCCTTGCCATCTGAACTTGGTAGTAGAATGGGATACTTTCTGATGAAGGGATTATAGGTTGGCAGTTATAAGGAAAGTTAGAGACATGCCAGCAGGATGGTCAAAGTGTAGCAAACTCATGTCTCTCTGGACCACTTGTGCTTATTTATCCCCCTTTCCGTATTCTCCAAAACCATAGCTCAAATGCCATCAATTCTTCTAGTCTTCCTTCTTCATATTTTCACATGCATATGGCTTGGGTCAGGCATATAATAGTCCTTAAACTGTCATGTTTACTCTGAAACACTTTAAAGTGTTTCAGTTGCAGTGGATTTCCTTATTACAAGATGTTGTTTGATTTCTTCAACATTTCTATGAATGTTGATAGTGGATCCAAGCAAAATGAAGTTTTTGACAACTTCAATATTGTCTCTATTTATCATAATGTTATTTTATTGGTCCAGTGGTGAGGATTTTTGTTTTCTTTACATTGAGGTATAACCCATACAGAAGACTGTGGTCTTTGATCTTCATCAGTAAGTATTTTAAGTCCTCTTCTCTTTGAGAAAGCAACGTTTTATCATCTGCATATCACAGCTTGTTAATGAATCTTCCTCCAATCCTGATGCCATGTTCTTCTTCGTATAGTCCAGCTTCTCGGATTATTTGCTCAACATACAGATTGAGTAAGTATAGTGAAAGAATACAACCCTGGTGCATACCTTTTCTGATTTTAAACCATTCAGTGTCTTGTTCTGTTTGGATGACTGCCTCTTGGTATATGCACAGGTTCCTCAAGAGCACAGCTAAGTGTTCCGAAATACTCTCTCCTTAATGCTGTCCACAGTTTGTCATGATCCACACAGTTAAAAGCCTTTGCATAGTCAATAAAACACAGGTAAACATCCTTCTGGTGTTTTCTGCTGTCAACCAAAATCCATATGACATTAGCAGTGATACCCCTCGTTCCACGTTCTTGTCTGAATAAGGCATGAATCTCTGGCAGTTTCCTCTCAATGTACTGTTGCAACCATTTTTAAATTATTTTTATCAAAATTTAACTTGACATCTAATATTAATTATATTAACATTTTTGATTTCTGCATTTTGTTGGGTTACCTCTCTGAAATGGACAAATATGAATCTCATCCAATACAGAGTTGGCCAGGTAGCTGTCTTCCAAATTTCTTGGCGTACATGAGTGAATGTCTCCAGTGCTACATCAGTTTGTTGAATGATTTCAGTTTGTGTTCCATCAATTCTTAGAGCCACGTTCTTTGCCAATGCCTTCAGTGCAGCTTGGATTTCTTCCTTCAGTAAGACTTGAAATCAAGTTTGATTAAGTCTTACAGAATTGTGCTCCAGAAAAGTTGCAACAACATGCATACTCCTACCAAGAATGTGTGTTAGTATATCTTTTCCTTCAACCTCACTGAAATTAGGTTTCATCAGACTTTTTTTTTTTCCTCTTTTTCTTTTTCATGCCTGGCTTGATCTTTATTTGTTTATGCATGCATAGATGAGCATGGTGGCTCCATACAATATGCACTGGACTGTGACCCACAAGAGCTGCGGTTTGAGCCTGCCACCTTCTCAGTGGGAGAAAGGTGAAGCTTTCTGCTCCCACCAAGATTTAAAAACCTCGGAAACTCTATACAAGGGAGCTGTGAGTCAGAATGACTTGAAGGCACTTAGCAACAACAAGAATACATACATAAGATTGAGCATATTTTTAATATGTTTATTGGCCATTTGTATTTCTTTTATTATGCACTCTACCTGGGTACTAGAATTTCTTTAAATGCTCTCCAGGTGATTATAATATGTAATGAAGTTTGAGAACCATTGCTCTGTGAGATTTAACAACTTCTTTAATAGGGAGGATGTAGGCTGTGTCAAAAAAGGTTCCAAAATGTAACTGGATAATGCCTCTCACACACAAAGAATGCAGGAGTAGCAGCTGGTTTTGTTGTGAAAATACAGAGTTTGGTTTGAGGTCTTAAATTTAAATTTTCATAATTTTCTTCTTGTTCCTTTCTTGCAGTTGAAATGGATGCAGTCAGAACTGAATGTTGAAGAAGTAGTAAATGACCGGAGTTGGAAGGTACAAAATAATGTTGGTTTGTGGGAAAAGCGAGGGACCAAACTGAACTAGCAAAGGGAAGTCCAAGGAAGGAGAGTGATGAGCACCTTGAGGCTCTAAGAAAAATCTTTTTTTTTTTTTTTGAGAAATCATGTAAATAGATCCATGTTATATGAATCCGTTTTACAGTCAGATAGTGGAATTGTATGACATGTCATGATAACAGAATTGAAGAGTATTTCATATGATTTCTAACACTAATTCTATGCATGTTTGATATTTACAGTTATTGCTCCAGGTACCTCTGAATCTTCGAAGAGGTTATTTGTTAAAATTAGTCTTTCAGAGCCCATCTACTTCCCATTTTCATGTCTCACTTAACTACCCTTTCACAGCTACTTGTCTCTCTTACATATGTAGTCATGAATCTTTTTAATGTATGTACATACAGGTTTTGCTTTTATCTGAAAATAGGAGTTTTCACTGCTAATAGAGTCAAACACTCTTTTTCCCACTTGTATAGTTCTGATTAGGAGCTGGGCTGAGAAACAGATCCCAGGGTTTCACGTACACATAGTCAGAAATAACAAAATTTTGATGTTTGTTTTCTGAAAAGCCATATTCATATACTCTCTAAAAATTCAAATATTTCCAAAGAGCAAAATCTATGAACTCTTGAAAGAGTAAGCTGAAAATTCTGTTTTATCTGTTGAAATTAACTAATTTAGTGGGATTAAATCCTATGCTTATAATAGTGGGATGAATTGGACCCATAACTATAATACTTCAACTTGCTGAGGCATGAATAAATGGCCAAAATTTTCTTTGCTTTATTACACTTCTTTTTCCAAAACTCTTTTTGCCAAGATTTCTTATTCCTGCCCTTTCCACTGACATAATAAGGTATTTGATACTTGTGAAAGATTTTGACAGTATTGGCCCATTTGTATTCTCTGGAGAGGTGATATTTGGGATGGGATGAAGAAGGCATACAATGTATTGTGGTGGAAAGAGCGAAGCATTTTTAGATACGCTAATTATTTTTAAGAGACAGCATCCTCTAGCCCACATAATGTGAATAATCTACTTATTTTTAAGAAGAAGAAAAGCTAAGGTACCATAAGTCAACAAAAGTAGATAGGAAATCTTTTAGGAAAATAATTTGAAGAGACTTAGCCAAGTCATGTGTACAAGTTCAGTGGGTATTTCTAAATCACTGATCCGAAGTGTGCTCTCATCTGAGATAGGAAGCTCCTTCGTAGAGGTGTATGGGCTGGGAATTGGAGTGAGGAGAATATCAGGCAGAAGTGCTAGGAGTTGTCTAGAATGTATACATGTTTCCTTGTCATTGTGAAGTATATATACCAAAGAGTATATGTAACATGTCGAATTTAAAGTGCATTAATAAAATGAACATTCACTTATGTATCTTCTACCTGGCTTAAGAAATTGAACAGTACCAGTACCTTACAAGCTCCCTGTATAGATATTTCTTTATTTTGATGATAGACCACAGCAGCCAAAATAGGTATTGTTTTATCTGAAAAATGGTTTACTTATTAAAGCAATGAAGGAGAATATCTTGGGAAGAAACTCTCTTAGATTTGGAGGATTTTTTAATTGAACACTTAAAATTTTTAAATACATGTGTCCAAAAAATTTTAATATCAAAGGATGTATTATAAAACATCTGCATTTCAAATTAGTTATTTTCCCTTCCTTCTGAACGAATGTGCCATTCTTTTAGATATTTGTACCTTTTCTAATATATATATATTCACTTTCCTCTTGTTATACAAATAGAAATGTTCTATACCCACCTTTTTCCCCTGTAATAGGTCTTGGAGATGTTTTCAAAATTAGAACATAAAGAACTTTAGTAATTTTTTTAAAGCTTGCATATAAAACTTGGAGTGCTTGTAACATAATTTTTATTTAAACAGCCTCATATGAATGGGCATTAAATCACAGAATTCTTTTAATATGTATGATTTATTTTGTTTAGACTTGTAGGAGCAAGGTAAATAGAACAAAAAAGTTAAATAAATTCACACAGCTCAGCACAAGACTGGTGTCTACCTGTCAAATCTACCTGCTTGTGGGAAGGATCTGGTGCACATTTAGAAAAGCACAGCAAATATATAAATAAAATTTATTTTAAAATAAAATAATGAAACCTTTACTTTAAACTTATTTTAGATATTCTTATTTGTCTAAAATATGTGCAGTATCTGAAACTGAAATGCTTGTTAGTACTAAACGAGTTGGCCCTTGATGATTGTTACTTGAATAATTTTTTAAAATTTTGAATTGTTTTGTGAATGGATATCAAGGTCTCTGTATGCCTAGCACCTGGTAAATCAGTTTGAACTGATGTAGAAACCCCTCTGTTTCATAAACAAAACAGTAATATCATCCTGAACCACACAAAATTAAATCCATTCCGGTCCTGATTTATACAGGATGACTCAGTGACTTTTGTTTCTGTTTAAATAATTAGGTGTTTAATGAACGCTGCCGAATTCACTTCAAGCCTCCAAAGAATGAATAGAGAGAGAGATACTGTTTTTTAAAGGACCGGGTCATCTCATAAGAGCTAAGCACGACAGACATCTGCAGGGTGGGCCACCTAAGATGATTTCTGAGCCAACAGTCCAAGACCTTGTGTTGATTTCAGCCCTACTTAGCCAAGACCTCAAATATAAATAATTCTGATAATTATGGAGATATCAATTGCTATTTTATACTGATTCTGTAAAAAAAAAGTTTTATAACTATTAAAATAATTTTCTGATTCAGTGTGTATATTTATTTGACTGTTTTCCAAGTTGAAATATTTTTAAAAGTAATTATTAGAGAACTTGAACACAGTTTTATCCTCTACTTTGATTTTATGCTACCTTTTTTATAATTGCTAATTCATTTGTTTGAGCATGGACCTTTTTATGGTCCTAGTGACCATAAAAAAATAGTATTCCTTTATTTGTCTTTGTGGATTTACTGTTCTTAATTAAAAGGGAAGTGTTTTATAATGTCCAAAAACTTTTTAGTACCTTACCTTAATCTTATTTTCAGTTATAAAAACTAATTTTGGGTGGCTTTCTTTTCTGGGTAAAATATCCACGGATGATGAAAAAGAAAGCAATAAGACAAATATAGAAAAAGAAAAGGCAAGGAAGAGCTTATCTGATAATATTCAACTGAGTCAGCAAAAAACTTGTTATAGTTGCAGAATCTATACTGCAAAAAAGTATGTTCTAGTACAGGATGATTTTTTTCAGTTTTCTATTGCTGCTTTACAAATGAACACAAATTTAGCAGTTTAAAACCACACCTGTGTATTGTATTCTCGTATCATGTTGTAGGATCAGCACCAGACTGCGAACCACAAGGCCAGCAATTCTAACCCACCAGCTGCTCCTTGGAAACCCTGTGCAGGCTTACTGTGAGTTGGCACCGACTCCACAGCACTTAACAACAATATCATAATCTTAAAAGGAAATTTTCCTAAGAAGCAGAAGTGAAAAATAAAATTTGCTTATTAGTGAAAGGTGCCCAACAATAGTTAAATCGTTATTGGATGGATGGATGAATTGGAAGGATGAGTGCAAGAATAAAAATAGGACTTAAATATCTTCCTGGTACTACTGCTTAGGAAGCAATTCAGATTCTTATTCATAACAGCCTTTGTAGAATTCTGTTCAGGTCTGAAATACCATCCGTCTTGCTAATTCAGTTATGTTGCTGTTACGTGCCATGAGTTGATACTCAACTCAGTGACGCCATGTGACAAACTAGAACTGACCTATGGGGTTTTCTAGGTTATCTTTATGAAGCACTGTCAGATATATTGCAGGAAGATGAAAGCCTTATGAATAGCAGTAGAGCATTGTCAGAGTTAGTACCCAAAGATGAACCCCTCAGCTGGAAGGTACAATACATCTAGAAAAGAGCTGCCTCCTCAAAGTAGAATGACCTTGAACATATCCCACCTGAATTTAGAGATCATCTCAAGAACAGATTTGATGATTTAGATACAAATGATCGAAGACCAGGAGAACATCATACAGGAAGAAAGCAAAAGGTCATTCAGACAGGAAAGAATATAAAACTTGGAGTGCTTGTAACATAATTTTTATTTATGGGAAAGAAGGAAAAGACCAAAACAGATGAGACTCTGAAACTTGCTCTCCAGCATAGAGAAGCTAAAGCAAATGGGATAAATGAGGAGGCAAAGAGCTGAAGAGAAAATTTCAGTACTGACTCAGCGACCTTAGGCAAAACAACAAAACAGTGCCAGGTTCTGGGCCAACTTGACAGTTGTTGGTACACATGAGCCAATTGCTGCTGCCACTGTGCTAGTCCATCTCATTTGGGGTTCCCTCTTTCGCTGATCCTTCACTTTACCAAGCATGTTGTCCTTCTCCAGGGACTGCGCCCTCCTGATAATATGTCCAAAGTATGAGAGGGAAATCTGGTTATTCTGGCTTTTACATAGTATTCTGGTGGTATTTTTCCAACACAGGCTGGTTTGTTCTGGTAGTCCATGGTATTTTTAATATTCTTCTCCAACACCATAACTCAAATGCACCAGTCCTACAATCTTTATTAATTGTCCAGCTTTCACATGCATATGAGGTTATTGAAAATACCAGGGCTTTGGTCAGGCTCACCTTAGTCCTCATACTGACATCTTTGCTCTTCAACACTTTAAAATGGTCTTGTGCAGCAGATTTGCCTAATGCAATTCTTTGATTTCTTATCTGCTGCTTATATGAGTGTTGATGGTTGAGCTGAGCAAAATGAAGTCTTTGACAACTTCAATCTTTTCTCCATTTATGTGGATGTTGTTTATTGGTCCAATGGTGAGGATTTTTCTTTTCTTTACATTGAGGTGCAACCCATACTGAAGGCTATACTCTTTGATCATCATCAGTAAGTATTTTAAGTCCTCTGGCTTTCAAGAGGCAAGCAAGGTTGTATCTGAATTTTTGTTGTTAAGTGCCATCAAGTCGGTTCTGACCCATAGTGAGCCTGCATAGGGTTTCTGAGGAGTGGCTGATGAGTTTGAATCGCTGACCTTACATTTTAAACCGTCTTTGCAGTCCATCACATTAACCCACAGCGCCACACCAGGACTCCATTGTCTGCACATGGCAATGAGTCCCTTCTACCAATCATATAATCCATCTTCTCCATTTTCTCAGCATACAGAATGAATAATATGGTGAAAGAATACAATACTGGGACCCACCTTTCCTGATTTTAAACCATTCAGTATTCTCATTCTATTTGAATGACTACCTCTTGGTCTATGTACAGGTTTCTCATGAGCACAATTAAATGTTCTGGAATACCCATCCTTCTCAATGTTATCTATAGCTTTTCACAATCCACACAGTTGAAAACCTTTGTATAATCAATAAAGCACAAGTAAATATCTCTGATATTCCTTGATCCAGCCAAAATTCATCTGACATTAGCAATATCTTTAGCTCCACTTCTTATGAATCCAGCTTGAATTTCTGACATTTCCTTGTCCATGTACTGTTGCAACTGTTTTTGAATTATCATCGGTCTTGCAAAATTCTATTGTGGTCTCCAGTATCATTTCTTTCACCAGGGCCATATTTTCCAACAACTGATCCTTACTCTTTGTTCTCACCTGTCACATTCCAATCACCAGTAATTATCAATGCTTGCATGATATTTAATCTTGATTGCATGTTTGATCTATTTCAGACTGAAGAATTTGGTAGAATTCTTCATCTTTGACTTTAGCAGTTAGTCCATAAGTTTGCATTAACAGTGGTATTAATTGGTGTTCTTTGTAGGCATATCTCAGACTCACAGACAACATTGTACTTGAAGATAGCCCTTTTTTTATTCTGATCAGTAAGACCATTTTTCTGTTTTCATATAATTTTGCTTCACGTACTCTGCTGTCCTGAGACCATCTAATGTGATCCATTTCAGAATGGTTGTAGTGGTATGGGCACATCTAGTTCTGGTCTCAGAGTCATGGAGACTGATGTTCATGTTCCATTAGTCCACAGGACTAAATGATTCCAAGCATCTTCATTTCTTATCTCTCTTCTTTCTTCTGCACATGGAGAGTCCAGTAGGTGCATCTTAGATGGCCCCTCATGAGCTTTTAATATTTTAGTCATTACTCATCAAAGTAGGATGTGGAACAATGTCTTTGTGGACTATGCTTTGCCAACTGACCACGGTGTCTCCTGCAACTATGGTCCTGAGCCCCAGGCTCAACTACCTATTGCCTTAAGATGCTTGATAATATCTAAGAAGTGTTCATCATTTTACCTGCTGTATGCTCCATCACAGGCTCTGATATTGTAGTGGTTACGAGTCCGGCTGCTAACCTCAAGGTCAGCAGTTCCAAACTGCACAAGGTTTCCAAGGCTAAAAATCTTTATGGGAGCAGAAAACCTCATCTTTCTCCCATGGCACAGCTGGT